ACTTTTGGATGTGCTCGTGGTCTCTTTTCGAGAATCTGGGACAACGTCCTTGAACTGCTTCAATGAAGTCTGTATTGATGGTATACACACCGCGGTCACTGACAGAAGACCAGAAATGTATTGTATCATTGATATAATTAACTAATTCCTGATATCCTGGTTAGTGACAGGATCAGATCACGATAGAATGCGAGCGGTACTTCGTCACAATGAAGATTACCCAATTTGTGGAAAACGCCAATGTGAAATGCCTGCTTTCCTAGGAACAAGGGTTCCATAAACAATAACTGGTTAAAAGCATCTATGATGCCTCCGTGAGTGTTGGATAATTGACGAAGATAGCGTCTCTTGCTGGTGGTCAAGTACGCGCGCCATTGTTCCGTCTCGGCCAAGTCATTGTCTCGTAGACTCTTTTGTAGGTTGACATATATCGTGCCATCAAGAGGTGACAGCTGATTGGCGAACGCGTCGCGAAGATTCCTATTTGCCCTCGCATCTAATAGGATGTTAACATGTTCTCCCGAATCTATCTCGGAATCTCACCAATGTTTTCTCTGTAGAGTGTAACTGTCCACCAACGATCTCCGTCACGCAGGACTGTTTTTGCGGCCTGAATTCGGCAGGATCCATGCAAACAATACACTTTGTCCTCCGCGCGAAGTAACAGTTCATTCACTCCGTCACTTGCCTGTTTGACCGAGCTGCGGTGCGCAAATATGTCATGCGAGATTGTCGCCGTGATGTAGTTCTGCGGGTTATGACGCAAGCATTTTTGGACGAGGAAGGTTTTCTTGAGCCGACTGACGTTCGGGAACCGGTTCTGGGGGATCCGAGGGTGTTCGATATTGTCCAGCCGAATGCGGTAGACTCCCAACTTAGCGTGATCTTGTAAGGAGCAGATGAAACGATCGTACGCAGTAGCGGAGGCTTGAGTGGCCATCGCACAGATTTACGACAACCACCGGACTGTACCTGCTCCATGTAGGGACCACTACATTTATAGTCCATACTTGATCCCATGACTTATCATGGAAAGACTTGAGCGCCTGGGAGCGTGCTTGGTCATGCCTAGGAGCTCTAAGAGTTCCCAGAGCGTGGTTCAATAGTCCCGCCTCACGGAAGCTGATGCCCAGGAATGGACATGGGAGTCCTGGGAGCTAATTAGATGCCCAGCACAACCCAAAGTAGCTCCCAGGAACATGTCGCAGCACAAAACATAGATTGTCGTGGGACCTTAGGAGTATTGTTGACCCACTGACAAATACGGTCAATTAATGCTAGCATATGATCGCAAGGCTCTGAAAGACCGCTAGTAAGGCTCGAACAGCAATATTCTGGCGAGGGTGTGCCAACAACGTGCCCATCATTATCCAATGACTCGCGTTCTTTCACTTCGGCCAGATAAAAGGGCAGTCATTATAGCTCCTCTGCTGACTACTTTATTGTCATCAGCTATATGGAATTCCATGCCAGGACAGTATTCAATGTTCATTTTAATGTCAGCATTACGATATGAAGCCTACTTAGATGTGGTGACTAACTTTTGCTCCATCTTGTAATGAACAAGACAATTGATTCCAAGATGTTACTGTGATCACATCCGACTATACTGTAGCAATAATACATAGCAACGTTATATCCTGTAACCTGAATTCTAAGTCAGACGTAGTTGGCTATCAGCTCTCCACCATCGCGACATTGCAGCGAATGATCATCCTTGCTTAGTTTCCACGGCCGAGAACATACTAATTTCTGTTGTTTAGGGTGGAACCAGGTTTACACGCCTTTGTATTAATCCTCGGCTGGCGTGCCTTAGCCCTAAATAAGAAAACACAGTCTATCTAGATGGCATGGCTAATTGGTGATACAAATCCTCTAATCGAAATGCAGTGGGGGTTGAGAAGTGGCCTTTCGACTGGGCAAATGCCCCTAGTGCCCGATGCGATAAACAGACCACCCGTTTTCGAGGTTTATGATAGGATATCGCTGGTGCCTCTACTTTCTGTGGCGTTGGCGACTTTCTTTTCTTTCTTACATAGCAACCTCGATGTTCGGCATGGAATGGCATCGCTAACTATCTAACCTGACACAGGATGGCGAAGCTAGAACAGCCAGTGTTGGCGACTCAGGCATAGGCACTCGATATCTCCAGGTTTTGGATGTCACCCTGCCGTCCACTTTCTCACCTTTGAGATTCTCAGTTGGGCCTGCATGGAGCGCCGGCTGAATAAAATCCAAGAGGAGAAAAGCGGGGCTCAGCCGCGGGCCCACGTCTGTCTACAACGGCGGTTGTGCGTAAAATCAGACCAGATAACAACACATGTAGCGAGGGTGATAGGTTACGACGGGCCAGAGTTGGAATTAATGCAATCGCTACATGTTCAGCATGACCCTCAGATGAAAGGTGATCTTCACTGCGAACGTTCAGTCCAAGCCATTCTTTGAGGAACGCCAGCAGCGATACAGTATAAGGATTCTCACCAAGGCGATACGTAGGGTCATGGCTAAAGAACACCTCGCGTTCAGTTATTGTTCGAGTCTAATCACATCGTATCTAGTTCACTTTCAAAAGAAACTGCATTGGTGAAGAGCTTGAATTTGTGTTCATCGTATTGTACTGTTACTCTCTGGACACATTTCTCAGTTTCCAGGCTTCTGCAAAGAAGACGGCCCATCCTTATCAAAGTTGCGAACGCCAGTCCTTCTTCGACACAGTCGAACCGGTCGCAGGAGCCGATGCAAGACCATGTAGCCAATGGACAGGAAGCCCTTCAGCGGGCTGATAGGACCATTGATTCGACTTCCCACATGCAACAAGGCGAGGGACAAGAGGTTAGTCTCTTCATAGCCACAGGGCAAACTCTTCAACCATCCAATAAGGGCCACAACGAGATGAGACGGCGGCAACAGCGTGATACAGTCACGCGAGTGACCACGTCATCGTTGTGTCGAGGCCTGGCGTCCTGATGGCTACTTAACCTCGGACGTCGCTCACCTTCCTTCTCTACAACCCTCTTTCCATTCTTTGCGCAAAATGTCTCCCCCCCGCATCGCTACGTCCGTGTCAGAACAATTGCTGGCGCCTTGGTCGTCAGACGCCCTTATAGCTGAGGTCTACTCGCTTGCAGGGGAAAAAGAGCTTTCTACTTGTTGGACGTCAGTCTTGTCGACCAAGCTGAGGATCGAGCTCCCAAATGGCGATTCCGACTTGAGCTCATACCTCCAGGAGGCCTCGAAACAAAGCCTCATTACGTGTGTTACGGCTCTACGGACAGAGCTAGAGGCCAGCACAAGTGGAAGGTCAAGGCGAAAGCCCCATCGAAAGCGACCGCCCATCACAAAACAGACAACCAGTCAGGAAAAACGCCAAGCCAGAGAAAAAAGCAAAAAGCGGCTCAAAATGACAGGAAAACGTGCGAAATGCCCGCCTAAACTCGCCCAACCTAGGCAAAGGATGGATATCGAGATTCACACGGTGGACGAACAGGAAACTAGCATTGAACATATCAAAGAGGAGATATTGGCCATGCAGCACGTGCAACAGTACAAGTTCACTTCTCTCGAAGCCCAGCTTGGCGACGTAAAGAGAGGAACAGAAGTCTATCAACAGCGGCTTCTCGAGGAAATGAAGATCACACAAGAGAACTTCGGTTCAGCCGCAATAACATTGCAATCTAATCCCACAATACAAGCTTTGGCGGGAGGGGAATTTAGAAACATCTGTCGCCGTGTGGAAGAGCAGGCACTTGCCATGCATCAGAACAATGAACAGCTTAGGGAGGCCCAACAGCTTATCAATGAATATCGTGACGAAATCAAATATCTCCAAATTCAGCTCGACAAGGTTCAAGAGGATATCCGGCAGGGATGCGTGGAGAGACGGGCGTCAGTTAACTCTGCCGATTCTTTCTCAGAGGCGAAATCAGAGGGCGAGAAAGTCACTGTACCAACTCTCTCGGTCGAATCGACACGGTTGCATGGAAGCTACCCTTTGGAAACAAGTCGACCCCAGTGCATTGCTGAGTCGAGTTCGATTCCCACATCATCGCCAAGAACACTTGCTGGTATGTCTCAAACCTCCAAGTGGAGGGAAGACAACATGGCTTCATCGGAGCCGGACGCTGTAAACGCCCAATATACGCCAATGCTTGCGGAGACACAACAAGTACACGAGAGACTGTTGAGCGATATCGAATTGGGAGACTGTTTCCACTACACCATCGACTCTGGTAGCAGTGATTTTCATAGCACGTCCGGGGGGGTTCCTCCTAGATGCTGTGGCCGGCTTCCGCATGCATTGACTGACCGGGGCTGCATCCTCTGCGACCAACACTTTTTACAATTTACCACGGTGACTCCTCAGCAGATAGGCACGTCTTTATGGCCAGGGTTTTTTTGCCCAGCCTGCTCCGACCAAGGCTGTAAGTCTGCAACGGCTTTGGATGCTTCCTATGTTGAGAATCCGAGAACGAAATCTTTTCCTTGATTTTGGGAGATGACCTGCGTTGACGTCAATAGAACAGCATAGAGACTAATTTGGAGACCAATTTCTCATTTATGCAGTAATTTCTGGTCAAATGAAGTGACCCGACTATGGGTAACTGTAATGATTTCTGTATCCGGAGTCTTTCAGAACGATTGTGCTTTTGATGGTTTTCGGTGTATCTCAATGAGACGTGAGCTCCTGTGGCATACATCTCCTTCTGATTACAATATCGATGCGATTTGTTCTTGAAAGGTGGATGTGGACCTCTGAAAATCACCAAGCTTTACACGTGCCGCTGCAATTCGGCGTTTGAATTCTGCTATCTCTCTCCCGCGATCCTCGCATTGCAGACGAAGGGTTGCGATCTGTTCATCCCTTGCTTCGATCAACTGTTTGTTCTCCATCAGTTGGATAGATTGGATTTCAGTGCGCTCAGTGAGCTCGCAAATAAGGGATGAAAAGCTCCGAGGGTTTGTAAGGTCGCGACGGGTTCGGGAATGGGAGTTGTCTGAGATTCCGTGCTCGTTTAGCACCGGCTTTGGCACCCCAGGTAGTGTAGCGTGAATGGATTTGCCGATCTCCGAG